CGTGTCAATCGCAAAAATTCGCTGGCATAGGCCGTCTTTTAGTTTTTATTTTTGTAAAGCATCACTCGAAGTTAAACCACAACGGCGACCGCCCACAAAGCGTCAAGAAACCCCACTATTTCTCACTCAATTCTCATTTCGAAGCTATACATTACAACCAGTCACGCTCACTCATACGACTAAGTTAACTTGTGCAGAAAAGGCGGCCCTGTGGCACATTCTCGCTGCCACTGCACCCGTGAGTACCACAACTACGTCGTTAGCTTTAGGGCGCCTCATGATGCTGTTTGCACACAGAAACGCACACATATATTCTCAAAGAAGGAAAGATTTGGACAAGACAAACTCTTGTATAGGAAATAGTCCAAAAATCTCTGTAAGTAGAAAAAATACTGGCACAAATACCTGACGTGGGTCAAATAACGGTTTCGCCGCCCGCACCAGCGGCCAGGGCTTCTCGGTTTTCGTACATGAAGAAGGCTTGAATGTCGAAGAGTATGCTCAAGACGGTATCGCCTTTGCCTCTGCAACAAATAAAGAGGACACTCTTTACTGGGTTTAGGATGAGCCGATGCTCACAGGTCATCAGTGATCAAATCTAACATAAACAACCTAACCACCTTGTTGTGGCTTCGAATTTCGGTGAGTAGTTTGCAAATTCAAATAGACACGTTTTACAAAATAATGTATGAAAGAATGATGCCGTTAAGGAACACAGGAAGATATTCCAGAAAGCACGGCAGATGCAGCGATGAGCTTACTAACTTAGACAATAGCCGTCAAATACCCCATGGAGCAAAGCGCACCTCCGTAACACGTTCACGTAGTTGAGAAAGCCAACCCTCCCGGTTAGCAGCAGGTGCAATTTTTAGATACAGTAGCGCAAGACTACGTCCAGGTACCTGGTTGTGGAAAACTGCTACGGAACCCTTCCAAGAAGACCTTGGCCACGCAACAGACTCTAATGGCGGCAAAAACACCGCACCGTCAGTGAATCATTTTCGGAACATCGAGACGGAAGGACTTTTCGTTTAATGTTAACTGATTATCCGTTTGCTTCTCAAAAAATAGGCGAATCACCCAGAGCAACTGGGGCAGAATTCATTCACTAGAAAAGTTAGAGGAATCCACCATTGATCTGCATCCTTCATGAGTCACGCTACATGCAATATCAGCGCCATTCTCAATAAAAATTTCATTAATGAACGTTGAATAACTAGAAGACCGATAGACACCAGTAGGATCACAATTGAGGATGGCTTTGCTTGCAAGCAGCGTGCAAGACAGCTGACTTGAAATCTAACAGGCATGCAAGCTATGGGCATTCTGATGACTAGTGCGACTTACGACCGAAGGAGGTCATCGAGAGTGATGTAGTCGGGATGGCGAGGCTTGACCATATCAAAGATCTCATTCAAGACGTCACACGACCTGGGCACGTCCGGGCTCGGGCCCAGGCGCTCCTCGACGGCAGAGAAGAAGTACTCAAGCGTCCGACTGCATAGACGCCCCTGACCACCGAGGTCGAGGATGCGAAAGAGGAAGATAATGGCTTGCGGTTCGTGGCGATTCTCCATAGCAAGGACAAAGTCTAAGTATGCCTTGTAGTCCTGAAAAGATATTGTCCAAGTCAGGCAAATTTGATATTGTGAAGCGGAGCAGATAGCAGGTGGAAGCCTGTCAGTGCTGCCCCTGACTGGACCGCCAGTTCTTGCATGGCTTAGTAAATACGCCAGGTAATCGAAAGCATGCTCCAGCCTAAGGTATACGAGATCTACAGCTGTACGTGATTCGAATGCAAATAATCAAATAATCACGAAGCAGATGTATTCAGGCAGACAGCGCACTGGAGTAGTTCATGGGCTGCATCTTCGCCGCAGTAAAATTCATCACTGACAAACAACAGGATCGTAAGAGACCCATTCGTGTTTTCTCCTATTGAGTCAGCTTTCTAAATCGGAGGATACCCGCCTGAAAATCTCAACTCACCCTACGCATCTAATTATCACGTTCCCACTCGGTTGCCAGATAGTGTGCCCAGTTGTGGTTGCAGATGATTGGTGATTCACCTGAGTCCGTGTGCTGGCTTAGCTACCACTTGGATAGATTGTCCAGTAGACCACGGTGTCACCAAGCCTTTGTGCGACACACACACACGCACACACAAATATCGAATTGCATGTGTTAATCATCGAAAATCAGGGTGGTTTGCTCATCAGAGTTTCCAAAACATCATCTACCGGAAATACAGCCCCGATTTTCGCATCACGATCGCACTTGAGAGCGGTTAGTGTGGTATGACAAATCAGTGGGCCCGTAAAGTGCAATGATAAATTGACAAAACCTGCGTTAGGCTTAAGAAAATCAGGCTGCTACCAATGCTCTTGTGAGATAGCGGTTCGTTAGACTTCTGTGAAACAAAATCACTTTTATTTGGGTTCAGGAACTGGTTAAAAGGTAAATATTGCTACCTAGTTACTTGGCAAAAGCTTGCAACATCGTGAGGGATATTTTAAATAAAACGCACCATTTCGCCTTCGTAAGTAAGGCACTCCTGAAAGACTCGATCAAGAAAGGCGTCGGTTAAGGTTCCGTTGTTATACCTGCAAAGGCCAAAAAAGAAGACACGTTCTCGACTGAACTTAGCTAAGGATATTAAACAACTCGGATGACTGCTCGAGGAAACCTTGAAAGCATGCACCTCAAAACGGCTTTTTAGCTGGCAGTCAAACGAAATAAAAATGCTAAGAATTCACTGACGAAAAACTAATAAAATAGGAATCGAAGTAGTTGAGCAAGCGTTTTGGGTGAGGCATACGTTATAGCAAAACTATTCTTCGTGCAACAAGTGTGAAGCATAATTCTACCATCGCATATAACTCTGCAACATCGTTAGTGCGAAGTTTCTTCACTCGCGAGACCATAACTATGGAAGAGCTAGTTATAACACCACAGGGATTGAGGTAGTTCGGTTTCAGCTTTACCAAGCAAAAAGTTGAAAAAAAAACTTTCTAGTGATCCGATTCAAGACCAGCAGATTGATTTGTTTAGAGGTGGCAATTCCAACCAGGCTGTAAGCACCACAGAGGATGCATTTTTGGTGAGGCATGTGAACAAAGATAAACATTCACGCATTTATAAATAAAACGGAATAAGCAAAGGCTGCCTACCCGGAAAGTTCTTGTCGTGAAAGCATCCCGTTCCGATCGTCGTCCAAGTGCAGGTAGCTGGCGTATACGCGCTTTGCGGATTCAAAAGAAAACCAGTTTGCTTCGAGTTGTTCCAAGGTAATGTTGGTTTCTCGCAGTTCCAGCATCGCGTCGAGATAACCACTGGCAAGAATGTCGCTGATTCGCACACGACCAGCGCGCAAAGGGTCAAGGAAAAAGAAGAACTTTCGAGTTGCTGTACACACATAGAATGTCTTGAAGGCACTGTCAACTCCACGAAGCTGCAAGATAGAAATCCTTAAATAAGGGCTTCGAGTCAAGCCCTCAAAACGTGTGACGGAGCATGACCTACATTGATTAGATGCGTAAAGAAGCCTCTTTAGAAAGATCATTAAAGTGTTTTGTAAAAATGTGTGCACAGGTTCCCCGATTACAGATTAATGTGCATCCACTGGCATGAGTCTATCAATAGAAACAAGAGATTACCTTCGTGAGCGAAGGAATAAGCTCACAAATGTAATTTTCAAGATCGGATTCCCGAAGGTAACCGTCACCAGTGACGTCATATAATGATATACCAATCCTCGTTTGTTGCAGCCAAATTGTCTTCATCGCGTAATTGAAGAGGGTAAGAATGTTTACTCGAGATAACCGATCACCACGGCACAGTTTTGCAAACACAGTAGCTGTAAAGTAACGCCTGCCAGAACAGGAAAAACAGAAGTTTCAATAAGAAAGTGGAGCACGAAATTGACAATGGACTTCTTAAATTTTTGTGACTCTGCGGAAACCGGTATCTGGGAGGTCAACACTCAACCTTCATGTGGTCTTACAAGCAGGAATGACTAGCACAGCCGAGGAGTTCAAACGAGTGGCATTTCTTTATAGGTCTTTAAAGTGGCATTAATTGCCACGACCTAATCTTCACTGAGGAAATAATCGCATCTGAGCTGTCTGAAACTAGACAAACTCTTTTAAACGAAGTGAAGAAGTGGTAAAACTAAAAATCAACACCTGTGTCATACTGCCATCGATTTGTGTAATTTACCCTACCTTTACGACTTTTGGTGTTAAAAGGAAAAGGAAACTACAACTTGCGCGGCTTTTGGGCATGCCTCTTTCCCTGCATTGAGAAACTGGGCGTAAGTAAGGTAGACCTTGCCGTCCACTGACAAAGGAGACTTATGTTTCTCTAAAAGGTTCCAGAGAGCCTACAAGGTAGTAAAGTAAAAATTATAGAACCAACAGCTAGTTCATCATTGTCCAAAAGGTCAAAGTTCTTCTTTTCTAAAAGAACAGCTCTCGCTTCCTCCCGAAGTTTCAGAGCCAGTGTGTCATCCTCTGGAGGTGCCTGTCAGCCAATTAATTAAACGCAAACCACAAACTTTTGGAAGCAGGTCTTCCAAATCAGGAAACGATACATCTTTTGTCGAGGTCATTGCCAAAAGTTTAATAAAAAAAACACTTTTTGACACCCGAGGGATACGTTACTCCGCTTAAAATCTTTTAACAGCTGTGGCGAATACTGTAAACGAGCGAGTCGGGCGGAGGCATAATGAATCAAACAAAGCTCAGCCAATCGCCTGTCTGTGACCATTTCAAAGTACAAGTTGTATTAAGAAGCTAAACAAAAACAAGAACGGATAAAAAAGCAAATAACTTGACCAGTGAAAATGACTTGGTAAGGCAGGGCCTCGTGAAAAGTTCTGAAGTTAAAGCCGCTTCACGCAAAGAAGTTTGTACATATTTATTCGATTTTCCTAATTTTTATTATTCTTTCCACCTCAAATATGGCTAGGCTGCAATTCCCGACTATTTCGAATGGCACAACGCATGTTGTAACTTTTAACAACTAGTGGGATTGCTGTAGCACATTGCTTAAGTCATCGACTTTGTTTTCTGCCGCTAGGTGCTAACGGCTATG